TTCCAATATTAGCCAGTAAATTAGCCAAATATCAGAAGTATTCGCCAATTTTCGATAGTCTTCGCCAAATGCTAATTTTAACAATTTCTTATGATTAATTTACCCCCATAGAAAACTATTTTACGTTAGTTTATTTCAATCTTATGTTATTTAGACACAATTCTAATTGGTATTGCGGCGCATCTACCAAAAATTGCAGCAATCGAACAAAAAATACTAATTTGTCTAGAAAAATGCATTTTGACATAGTTTTGTAAATCGAGTTAAATATATAAATTTCCAGTCGAAAAAATCATTCTCTTTCTAATGCTTTCTCCGATCCACAATTTTATTCACCAAATCTCCAATTTCATCACATTTGGCGAGGTGACTAAAGCTTAGAATGGGTTCTTACGTGAAATGTTTAAAGTTTCAGTCCATTAGAAATGGAAAATAACAGGCAGTGAAAAAAATTCGGAATTTTTTATTCGTTTTAAGCATTGGATAATTTCGTCTTTCGTTATTAAATTATTTAACAAATTCCCAAAAGCATACACTGAGTGTAGCTTTGCCAATAAGTATTTTAATTATTAAAAAATCATCGGTAAGGAAGGCGAGAACACAACGCTAAAATCCGGTTGATTGTCTGATGAGGCTTGTGTACGTTTCTTATAATTTCAAATTTCTGATAAGGATTCCTAAAATTATTTATTAAAGATGGAACCTTACAGAACAACTTGTATTAAGATAGATAAAAAAAAAACCACTTTCATTTAATTGAAAAATAAAATAAGTTGTTTTGTTTTCAAAAAACTATCCGTATAATTTATGAATTTTTTAAACAGGTTTGTAAAGACTTTATGATGGAGAGTATGAGAAATATACTTATCAGCTTTATATTTTATGACGTCGAATTAAAACTACATCATTCTAACTCAACTGAAAATTTTGATTGCATAAAAATTTTTAATTAGCTTTACATTTAATTTTTGAATAGATAATCAAACATGCTCTTATACTAATTGTGGCTTTATGGTATTATTATCAATTAAATTACAGTTACTTGTAGAAAAAATATATTAATTTCTTCCGAAGTTGAAATTTTTATAATGTGTCTAATAATCTATTATAAACAATTTAATGCAATTTAGATTTACGAATTATAGCAGTATTATTAATGTGTGTATCGTTCTTTACGCACTTGTCTTGTGTCTTTCTTAACACAATTGTATACATGACATGATTTAGGCTTTCATCAATTACTTCGATTGTCCATTTTGATGAATATAGTCCCATAAATTCAATACTATCGTTTTATAAAAACTATTAAAAAAAAAACTTTGTATTTTACTGCAAAACTTCCTACCAGCAACAGATGTAAAATTTACAAAGTTGCTGCTCTGTACGATGCTGTAAGTATTTCAGTAGACTGACGCAAATTACATAACGAGTTGTTACTGACAGTACTCAACATTATCAGAAACAGCAACGTATGAATTGACAGAAATTATGTACTCTTATATTAACAGCACTGTCAGAAGCAGAATATTGTGACATCAAATGCAGTCTGTTGTATTAGTCGCAGTATTTTGCAAAATTTGCATCAGTTTGCTGTAAAGTTCAAAACAGCAACTTTGTCGTAATTTTTGCAGCAGTTAGCTGTAATATTCAAGACAACACTTTACTGCAAACTTTACATATGTCTGCCGTAATTTTAAGAACATCAACTTTGCACTGAATTATACAGCACCTTCTGACAGTCGCGATGCCAGCATTTTTTGCAGTAAAATACAAAAAAAATTTTACAATGAAATTGTAACTGGTAATTCGATTTTTGCATGAAATTGAGATTGAAATTAATTTTCATGATTCAAAATTAAAGTTTTTTTTAAAAAAAATAAATGGTTAAGAATACATATATGTTTCCCGTTGAAGAACCGCCAGCCGATAAATTTTTTAAAACTTTTAAATATGTTCTTTTATTCGTTAATACACTCATGGACAAAAAAAATTAGCTTATCAGAAGGAGTCGTCAAAATGAAACGAAATTTTACTTACGTAATGACTACTCTGATACAAGTAAATGAGTAGAAAATCAAAGATTATCGTTTTTCTTTGATTTTCTAATCATTTGCTTATATCAAAGCAGTCATTACGTATGTAAAATTTCGTTTCATTTTGACGACTTCTTCTTGGTGCGCTAATTTTTTTTGTCTGTGAGAGTATTTAGCGTTGCCTGCTAGAACTATAAAATATTACTCGATTTATAGTACCGTAAAAGAGAGCGAGAGAAAAATAAATTCCGAAAATACACTTAGAATAAAAACCTTAAAGGCTTATCATCAAAGAATTTCAGGTTTATCATATTCAGAATATCCTATTCAAGTATGTTCAAAAGCTCTAACTTCTGATTATTAAAAGCGCCTTAAAACAGTTCCCAAAAATATCGTTTTCACTTGAGCTCAGTTATATTAATTCGAAATTCGATAATCGAGGAAACCAATTGCACCTATTAGAAATCACTCAACTATATCATATAATGTCAAAATAAATTCTGAAAATAAACCTCGAAAAGAAAAACACTTAAGGATTATCGTCAAAAAACATCAGAACATCAAAGAACATATTCGGAACATCCTTTTCCGGAGTTTTTGTGAGACTCCAAAGAATGATTATGAAAACGTGTCTTAAATATGTTCTATTCATTTCTCTTGAGCTCAGTTATATCAATTCAATAATCGATAGTTCTAAAGAATACCTATCAACATATTTTCCTTTTTTTTTTATCTACTTCATTAAAAAAAGAAAGCCATAACTGTAATAGCTACATTATATGGCTATAATATGGCAGAACAATGACCCAAGCAGAAAAAAAAACATTAAGGTGAGCAATCAGTGAAAAGAGCCATAGACCATTACCTGTAGATGGCATTGGATCTCTTTCCATTTCATAAAGGCGCCAAATTATAAAAGGAACTGAGATAAAAGCGTCGCCTGGGAGGGACAGAAATTGATAAAAACCTCCTTATCGGTTCCAGCTATCATTTTATTTCCGTCCCTTGGCATTGAATATGAAAAGACGAAAAATATACCACTAAAGACATCGAAAACCACTATTCTTTTGGCTCCTTATGAGGAATCCGAATCTTTTGGAAGTTACTTCTCCCCTTCCCCTGTCTGAAAAGAAAACGAGCCAGAACGTTCGCATAGTAAAGAAAAATGGGGGATAGATGGAAAAGTGTTAATGGGCTAAGGAACGGAAGTAGAACGAAATCTCATTGGCGATTTTTTCCCTCCCTTTTTCTTTTAGTAAAGGAAGACCATTAACTAATAAAAGGAACTCTTCTAAAGATTAGATCGCCAAGGTAAGTTGCGCCGCGTTCTAATCAATGCATTTTTCCTCTTCTCACATCTAGAAGTCGTAAACAAGGTATAGGGGGTGTAGTTGTTCTGTTCTTAAATAAGCACAAAATGGCGGAGAGGTATAAGAGAAAAAGAACATTTCGTGTAACGGCAATATCATTCTTTTTCAGTGATTTAGGTAGAAAAAGAGATGGAAGTGAAAGTTTCGGCGAACATTGACGTTTATGAGGTAATTCCGAGATAGTAACCTGGTGGAAGATGATAAAAATGGCAACGGAGTACAGTTATTAAGTTTATTAATTAGGCTGTGAATATATTTGGTTTTCAAGAGGTGGTTGCCCTTACGTTTTACTCTACTTTCGGTGGAGTGGAGCTCATATAAAAAATATATTTAGCTTGCAAATATTTTTTTTTTTTAATTGGTAGATTATACATGAAAGTTTAAAATGACGTAGTTGCATGCAAAGTACCTCGAATAAAATTGCCATTGTTCTTTAAATATTAATGCAACGCATTTCTGAAATTCTAAAATTCAACACACATTTAAATACTTCTACCACATTTATGCAATCTTTGTTTCTACTTCGGCGAATTTTTAAGGGATTGGTGTGGAATTTTTTAAAACTATATCTGAAACAGAGAAGACATGATTCAAAGATTTTTAAAAATTGTACTCATTCAAAAGTTATTCGTGTTCAAATGAACACGCTTTGAATTACTAATGAAATTTTTATTTAACTCGGCAATTAAAGATGAGAAAGGAACGTTAACTGATAATAATGGTTAATTAAAGTTCACTCAATAACTACAGTAAGTTTTCTAATATTTCTTTCACCACTGTTTGGTGACCTTTGATCTATTACAGTGGTTCTCAACCTGGGGGTGATAGAGCTTCTCAAGGGGGCGATAATCCTTAGGGGGGCGACGAGTATTCAAAAGATAAAAATTGCTAATAATATTAATAATAAAAGCTATTTGAGATTGAAATTGAAAATATATATGAAACCTATAGTTCTGGTGTAGACAAAGAATTATGGTAGTTAAAAATTAAAAAAAATTCAAGTGCAGGATCGTTTTCGTCATACGTTTTGGTATCGCAGGCGGAAATCTAATAAGTCACTCTGTTCCTCTGAGCAATAATGCTGTTTCCAGGGATGGCCGCCGACGTTTAATCAAAACTCATCAAATTTCTGAAAGAAGGTAAATTTGCGTTTCAGATTGATGAATCAATTGTGATAGATAACAGAGCTGTTTTAGCTTACGTGAGACTCATAGATGAGAGTAAGGAGATTAACGAGGAAATGTTGTTTACAAGAACTTTGAACACAGATACAAAAGGATAGTCGATTTTTAAATTTGTCAAAGATTATTTTGAGGTAAAAGAAATTCCCCTCACAAATGTAAGTGATTGTGCAACAGATGGTGCTCCAACCATGTCTGGTTGTCATACTAGGTTTCTGGGTCACCTTAAAAATGAAGTACAGGAAGTTATCTCACCATTCATTATGTCATTCATCGTCAACTTTTGGCTGCGAAAAATTGGTCATTTCTGGCATCAATAAAATAAAAGCTAGTTCTCCTAATAACCGTTTGTTCCGAGAACTTTGCCATGAAAATGATGAAGATTTCGAATTCCTGCTCTTACATACAGCTGTGAGATGGCTTTCAAAAGGAAACTGAGCAGTTTCTTCGAATTGCTGGATTCGGTTACTGAGTTTCTCGACTCCACTGATCCTGTTTTAAGTGAGAGTTTGAAGCAACGCAAGTTGGAAACTGCGTACCTCACAGATATTTTCGAAAAAATGAACGAAATCCAAGTAAAACTTCAAGGAAATAAAATGAACATTATCAAGGCTAAGGGAATCATATCTTCATTCATCGCCAAGTTTGATATCTACAAGTCAAACATTGGTCGCAAAGAGCTAATGCAATTTCCAACTCTTAAAAAGTGTTCAATGGCAGATATCGAGATTCTCGAAAATAAAATCTTAATTTTTACTGATCACCTTGATCAGTTATGGAATCAAGATTTAAAGATTTGATGAAATTAGAAATTCCGGATTGGATTTTCGATCCTTTCTCTTTTGAAGTTGTGGATAAGCTCACTTCCTCTTTGTAGACTGAGATTTTAGATTTGAAGTATGACTGTGAGGCTAAAGTCGTCTTTAAAAAATACGGTTACGAGTTAGCTTGGGTAAAGCTTATGGACACTTATCCACAATTGTGGAAACAAACTGAGCCGCTTCTCATCTCGTTCCCGTCAACATATTTAGTGGAGAGAGGATTTAGTTCTGTCTTCCAGCTGCTCACAAAGCAAAGAGATAGGTTGGACATTTGCTTCAAAGGAGACCCGCGTTTAAATCTGACGAGCATAAAACCTGACATTCAAGCTTTAACTTGAAATACACCAAGCACAGGGCAGTCATTGAAGTGGTAAAAATGTACTTTCTCCCTCTTCATTTTTTTTCTCAAATTTTAGTTGTTAACGTTTTAACTTTTTCTTGATTACATTAAAATATGAATTTAAAAAAATGTACTTTTGTTTTGATTATTCCGTTTTAAATTAAAAAAAATTTTTTTGAAAAAAAAAGATGCACAATTTTTTTTTAATTAATAAAAATGACTGGATAAATGTGCCTCCTTATTTGCATTACAATTTAAATTAAAATTAAATAACATAGCATATTTTCAGTGTTTGGTGTCAGCAAAGTAAATAAATGTTTAGCATTACAAGAAATGACAATGACATACGTGACATTTGCATGACAAGTTAAAACTAAAATTAATGTGATAAAAGTGAATGGGAACTTCAGAAATATGTCGTTTTTTTTTTTTTTTTTTTTTTTTTTTTTTTTTTTTTTTTTTTTTGGAAATTTAAACTATTTGTGATATTTCCTTTTACCAGGGAAATATTTGTCTCAGTTTCAATATGATTATTTTGACACCTATTTTGCCCACCTCTTTAAAATTTTGTTTGGCTGGAAATAGTCCGAATGTTACTTATGTGCAGGAACAACCTATCAATTTCATCCTAATCTGTTTTTTGTTATTTTTCCAATTTAGTTTGAGATTTAAATATTTTTTTAACTGGGACTGACTTTGCAAAAATCATTCTTTAAATTTAATTACTTGCGTTTTTTTTTTTTAATTTTCATTATATATACCGGTGAAAAGCAGTTTTTTTTATTTAATTCCGTTGCAAAAATTTATAAAAATAAGTACTGAAGAAGTCCATTACGAAAACTCTCCATACAAGATCAAATCATGCTAATGAAGAAGCTGTTTCTTAATTTAAGACTTTTCACGTAGATACGTTGGTTGGACGCTGAAGTCGACTAAATTTTTTAATGAAGAAACCTTTTTCGGGGGGAGAACTTTTCACGTAAATACTCTGAAGTCAACTAATTTTTTTTTAAATTTGACCACCAAAATTACAGAAGAATTTTCTCATATTTAAAATTGCCGTAATGTAATTTATATATTTGATCTCTTACTTTTAATTGAACTCGCTTATTTTAGCATTTCTTTCACCTGATACTCATACTTCTGATATCTCTAACTCATTTTTCCCCTTTCTTTTTTAATCACAGTCCTTTGGTTTTAAAATTGTTATATTAGTCGTTCTATAAAGAACTTGATGCTTATCAATTTAAGGTCATGGAGGGACTGATGTAACCATCGTAGAAGGGCGATTCTTTAAAAAGTTTGACTTTTTTAAATCACTTATTGTTAAAAATGGAATATGCTTTAAAAAATCTGAAAAAAATCATACTCACTCTTTTAAGGCACTTAGCAAGAGAAAAATAAAGGAAACTCCCTTTAACAATGTTGGTTAATTAGTTATTCTTTTGGCTCAGAAAATGCCAAAAACATATTTAGGTTTAAGAAAGCTCTTTTGCTAAAGTCATCACGTTATTACACATAATATCATGCATTATTTTTTTTAAATATTTTCATGCGCAATAGAAAGATTGTACAGGGGAGTTACCGCAGACATGTCTCAAGTTAGAACTTCAAATCTATGAAAAGAACTTTTGGGTAATCTGATCATCCAAGCACTTTATCAATCCAATAGAATGGTGGGAATAAGCAGGTTTGCGATACGAAACACTGAAGTTTTACTCTTTTCTTTCCTGAAATTATAAAAAACAAATTTCTTGAACCAGGAAAGGAAAGTTACATGAAAACCTCAGAACAAACTTTTAAATGATACGAATCGGTGAGCGAATGATTGAAACAGTTACAAAAAATTTTATTTTACACTTTTAAGTTAACATAGTTTATTAATATACCTTAAATGTTGAAATTTTGGTGTAAAAATTTTAAATAAATTTTAAGCCAACATAAGCCAACAAAAGGATATTTAGGAAATTTTAATTTTTTTAGGAAATTCCTAACAGATAATCTTTTTAACAAACACGGAAATACGTCAGAAAAATTCTATCTTAAAAGTATAAATAACAACTTCCTATTTCGAACCAATCTTGAGTGGTTTGAATTCATCCTGTGTAAGTGATTCGAATTTCCTTACTTAAGGGGTTCAGATATCATCGCTCAAGAGATCTGAATTTCGCTTTTCAAATATTCGGATTCTATTTTCCAAGGGTTCATATTTTATTACTCGAGCGATACTAATTTCATCTTTCAAATGATTTTGATTTCACTAATCAATCGTTCTATAGCTCAAGTAATTTGAGTTTTCAATTTCGAAATCCACTGTTTAAAGGTTTATATGCTGCTAATCTAGTTATAAGAATTTCACATTTCAAATAATTTCAACTCCACTGCTTAAAGTTTCGTATTATATAACTCAAGTAATTTGAGTTTTTCATTTCAAAATCCACTGTTTAAAGATTTATATGCTGCAACTCAAGTTATTAGAATTTCACATTTCTAATGATTTGAACTCCACCGCTTAAAGTTTCGTGTTATATAACTCAGGTTTTTTGAGTTTTCCATTTCAAAATCCACTGTTTAAAGATTCTTATTCTGCTACTCAAGTTATTAGAATTCCAAATGATTTTAACTCAGGGCCGGTGAAAAAGGCGGATAACGCGGGCTGTTCGCCCGGACAGCTAGGTTAGGGGGAAGCCGAACGAGACTCAGATTTAATGTTCTCCAAATTTTTGATTTCCCCCTTTTTTGCAAATATTGTTAACTAGAAAAATGTATTTATAGGGTTTTACTATTTTAAATTTTAGTTTAAGTTTCTACCTGGTTAAAGTTAAATGAGCAAAAGTTTTATTGAGATGGAAAGAGCAGAAAAAAGCTATTTTGAATAAGAGTTCTACATTTTCCAAGGGATGAGATGGATTATAAGTTTTACGCAATATTCTCGAAGAGTGAATGCTAGACAAAAACCGGGAGGAAGGCATTTAGAGAATGACCCTATGAACTATTAACTCATTCTTTTTATTTTAGTGTCTTATATCTTGTTAATTTTATGAAAAAAGGGAATTTTTTTAAGAATAAAACTCTACTTTGGAATTTCGGTTCACAATCAAAAAAATGGTTTTTTGTATTACTAATTTACTTCTTAATAACAGATAATAAAAAAAACAGAATGACTTTCTTTAATCCTATGCGTAAAATAATGTGTCATTCATTATTTTACGATACATAGTCTTTTTTGCTGGATTTTTTTTTAAAATAATAATTCCTCTTTTTGTAATACATTTTTTTAAGAAAAAGAATCTATTTTAAAAACGCTCATTGCATATTTTAAACTATTAAACGTATTATTTTTTTTTTGCACAAATATGAAAAAAACAATAAAGGGAACTATTTTTCCAGTAAGGTGTCAAATGTAATCTTAATATGATGTGAAATTGTTGATATAAATATTAATATTTAATGTCGAAAATACTCTTATTTCGTCTCCGATTTAAGTTTCTCATCCAAATCACGACGGAAGTTTTGAGAAATCGGGGTTAATTAAAAACAAGACTGGAAGATTAATTTCCAAGATAATTAGTGAAGATTAGATAATTACCAAGATCTTAAAAAGTTTTAAACAACAAGAAACATCTATTCATTTTTACGATTTTTCATATAATGTGTTCCTTATATTATTTAAAATAGTAATTAAAAAATGTTGTGGAAGGCTAAAATAAAACTTCTTTTTCTCTAGAAATAATTGCTAAGAGATTCTTTATTGATCTGGTTTATCTAAACGTTTATTATTGTTTCCGTTGCTTCTACTTATTTATATACACAGTTTTATATTATACCTATAAAAGTTTAGGTACAGAATATCTAATCTTTTCCAAAAATTGTTGGATAGCAATAACACTGGGGAACAAACTTCATATTGCATTTTTACAAACACTAGATCCTGTTTAATTTGGGTGAGGGGATCTCAAATATGAAATCATCGCATCAGAACCCGTACCAGGAAACGTAGTCGCACGACGCTAGGGGCACATCCCTAAAATTGACCGGTTTAGAAGCACACGAACAGTTCATAATAGCGAAATTCCCCCAGCGTCGTACCGCGTCATTTCCGGGCATGGGTTAATATGCAATTTTAATCCTGATGATGCGCCTTAACTCCCCTTGATGTTTATCGCAACATTTATGCGACCCTCAGTTGTGTAAACCGTTTTTAAACTTGTAAATTTTGAAAAAATTAAACTAAAAATGTCATTTAAAAAAACTACAGCTTGTAGAGAGAAACTGATTGCAGATTTGAAATCAGCGACGTGAAAATATCCAATACTCGTTTAAAAAAACCTTAGGCAACATAAAAAGAAATAGTTCTCCAGTGTAACCGTTTAATATTTTCCTATTGCTATAAGGATTGCTCGTTCTTTTTATAATGCATTTTATACAAGGTTATTTTTAATTTATTTTAAACGGTTATTTTCAGATAGTATATACGTCATAAACATTTTATTACAAGTTCGCTTCGGAATCAGAACTGTTATCGTGAACGATTATACTAGATATAGTATCTGATTAAAGTAAGCACGAGGAATCTAAAGAAACCAATCAATGTAGCTGTAAATAGGTATATTAAAGAATAATTTCTGACAACAACTAA